ACACGCACTCACAGACACCAGACACCAGACACCAGGCACCAGACACCAGACACCAGATTCACATATACGCGACAGACTCGGACAGGCTGGCGCACGGACGCACGCATGCCCGTTTCGCACCGTGTCCCCTCGCCATGCTCTGCTGCATTCCTTCCTCCCCGTACCCCCCCCCCCTCCCCCCCATCTACCACGCCGAAGTCCCCTCACCGGCGGGCTTGACAGTCGAGGGGAAGGTGGGGCAGATGATGCACAAACACGAGCTGCTAGGGGCCACTGTTGCAGATTAAATCATCTCTCCCCCCCTCTTCCCTTCCCTCCCCCTTCCCCCATCCTCCCCCACCCCTCTTCCCCGCACCCCTCTTCCCCTCTCTTCCCTTCAGTGCCCGCACTGGCGGACATGACAGTGGCGGAGAAGGTGGGGCAGATGATGCAGATAGATAGACAAGGAGGGGCCACTATTGCTGATAAAGATATGCCCCCCCCCTCCCTCCCGTTTCCCCCCCACCCCTCTCCCCCCCCTTCCCCCCTCCCCTCCAGTGCCCGCACTGGCGGGCATGACAGTGGCGGAGAAGGTGGGGCAGATGATGCAGATCGACGAGCGGGCGCTGGGGCTGGGAGGCAACGTCACTGAATACTATATCGGATCAATTCTTAGGTGAGCGCTTGCCACAGTTAACGTTGCTTCATAAAATCGTCTCTTAGGTGAGCGCTTATATTCACGCTTTCAGAAAGGCTGCTCCGCTTCCCTCTCCTCTTCCGTTTCCCCCCCCCCCACACACACACAGCGGTGGAGGCGGGTGGTCCCAGCGGTGTACGTAACGCCCCCAACATCCCCACCAATTGGGCTGGCATGGTTGATAGCTTCCTGGCAGCTTCCAGGCCAGGGCGCTGAAGACCCGCCTATGCAGGCACCCATGTCATCCTCTCCTCTCTTCTCTTCACACCCTCCCCCTCCTCTCCCCCCCCCCTCCCCCCACTTTCACCAGTGGAGGAGGCGCCTGACCACACGCCTAAAAAATGGACTCCTCACGTGTGGAGGAGGCGCCTGACCCCAGCACGGGCACAAACACATGCTTGGAGCGATTGCATATCTGTCGCCTCGCCCCCACTCCCCCCCTCCCCCCCCCCAATCCCCCCCACTCGGCCCCACTCGGCCCCACCCGCCCCCACTTACCCCACTTCCACCAGTGGGGGAGGCGGGTGGCCGCAGTACGCCGCCAACACCCCTACAGCGTGGGCCGACATGGTTGATGACTTCCAGGGCCAAGGCTCTCAAGACGCGCCTTTGCATCCCTCTGCTCCCCCCCTCCCTTCATTTTTCGCCCTTTCCTCTTCGCCCATTCACCAGTGGGGGAGGCGGGTGGCCGCAGTACGCCCCCAACACCCCTACAGCATGGGCCGACATGGTGGATAACTTCCAGGCTAAGGCGCTCAAGACGCGCCTGCGCATCCCTCTGGTGTACGGCGTGGACGCGGTGCACGGCCACAACAACGTGTTTGGGGCGACTGTGTTCCCGCACCACGTGGGGCTGGGGGCTGCTGGAAATGCTACCCTGGTGGAGGAGATAGCTGCTGCTGTTGCCAAGGTGAGGTTGACCTTCTCCCCCGCCGTCACAGTCTGCCTTGATCCCCGCCGGGGCTGCTGCTGACCCCTGTCTCCCCCAATTCTCCAACCTCCAACCTTCCATCCCCCAACCCTTTAATCAGGAAGTAGCCGCCACTGGCATCAGGTGGATCTTCTCCCCCGCTGTGACTGTGTGTTTGGACGCTCGCTGGGGCCGCTGCTACAAGAGATTTGGAGCGAATCCTCAAAGCCCCTCTTGAGTCGACTCAGAAGTCAGAGCTGACCCAAAAGCCCCTCCATCCTCCCTTTGTCACTGCAGGAAGTGGCAGCGACTGGCATCCGGTGGACCTTCTCCCCCGCTGTGACTGTGTGCCTGGACCCCCGCTGGGGCCGCTGCTATGAGAGCTTCGGAGCGGATCCAGGGCTTGTAACGGAGATGGCTATAGCGGAGATACGCGGATGGATGGTGAGAGGGAAGGAGGGGAGGAAATGCGGTGGGGGGAAAGGGGGGAAGGGTGGGCTTGTAACGGAGATGGCTATAGCGGAGATACGCAGATGGATGGTGAGAGGGATGGGTGAGTAGGTGGGGAAGGAGATGGGTTGGGGCGAAGGGGAGGGAGGGGTTGGTGGAACGGAAATGGCTATACCGGAGATTCGCGGATGGATGGTGAGGAGGGGAGGGGAGTCTGGGGCAGAAAAGGGATAACTGTGGGGAGAGGTGCGGTGCTTCTCGGCTTCTAACGGAGCTTGCTATAGCGGAGATATGGGGATGGGTTGTGAGCGAAGGGTGGCTGGCGGGTGTTGGGGGGGGGAGGGTGGGGGGGGGAGATTGTGGGGATTCCATGTAGGGGCTTCTAACAGAGCTGTCTATATCGGAGGTACAGGAAACGCATTTATGTATTCTTCACATTCTCGTCCCTGTTCCACCCGTTTCTGCAAGGCTCTGCTTCAGTGCATCTCTCTCTCTCTCTCCCTTCTCACTTACACTTCTCTTTTTCAGAAAGTCCCTTATGAGGCGGGGAACTTTCCAGGAACCGTCTTCATGGCGCCGACAGCGAAGCATTATGTGGGGGACGGGGGCACGCGGGGAGGCGTGGACCGGGGGGAGACGGTTGGGGGGGAGGCGGTGCTGAGACACGTGCACCTGCCGCCGTATGTAGCAGCTGTAGCAGAGGGGGTGCCGACGATCATGGCCAGTTATAGCAGCTGGAATGGCGTTAAGATGCATGGGAACAGGTGAGTCTGGGGGGGGAAGGGGGGGGGTGGGGAGGAGGGGGGGGGGTTTCTAGTCAACTTAGAAAGTGGCACCAAAGATGCACGGCAGCAGGTGAGGGGGGCTACTGGGGGGACTATTTTTGCTCCTTGCTACTGGGGGGCCACGGGGCCACGGGGCTACTTGCTAAACCACCTTCCTAACTGCGCTCACTGGAATTATGTCGGAGGTCCGCACGGCAGCAGGTGAGGGGGGCTACTGGGGGGAGAAGCACGAGGGGGGGCGTGGACCGCGGCGAGACGGCTGGGGGAAGGCAGTGCAGAGGCATGTGCATCTGCCGCCTTACGTGGCGGCTGTAGCAGAGGGGGTGTTGACGATCATGGCCAGTTGTAGCAGCTGGAATGGCGTTAAGGTGCACGGGAACAGGTGAGCTCCTTCACTTGATCTTTGAGCTTCTGATGCTTCTGGAAGCACTTTCACTTGATGGCGTTTCCATGTGTCTGGTGATTTATTTGGCGTTTCCATGCTTCTGGCGTTTGAGCTTCTTTTTGAGGCACCTCAAAAATCGTTTCCATGCTTCTGGCGTTTGAGCTTCGGGTGGGCTGATTGGGGAGAGGTGCGTGGAAGCAGGCTGTAGCAGAGGGGGTGTTGACGATCATGGCCAGTTATAGCAGCTGGAATGGCGTTAAGATGCACGGCAATAGGTGAGCTACTTCGCTCAATCTTTCTTGGCGTTTGCGCTTCCGGGGGGGGGAGTGGGGAGATGCATGGAAGCAGGTGATCATGGGGGGTGTATTTTCGAGTGGGCTTGAAACAGAGGGGCGTGTCTACAGCAAGGGGAGGGGAGCGAGGGGGGCCAGGGGGGGGGTGGGGTGGGGGAAGGGGGAGGGTTCGCGAGCGCCCATCTCTTCCGGCGCACCTCTGTAAGGAAGAGATGCGCCGGAAGAGATGGGCGCTCGCGAACCCTCCCCCCTTCCCCCACCCCAACCCCCCCCCCTTCGCCCCCCCTCGCTCCCCTCCCCATTCCCCCCATTGGTGCTCTCCCCCAATCAGCTATCTCCTCACGGACGTGCTCCGGAAGGAGATGGGCTTTCTGGGCTACCCTGCTGCCCCCTCCACTTCCCCCCCCGAGTCCAAAACTGCACTCCCTCCTTTTTTTTCTCTGTCTGTTTGTTCTCCCCCCCCCATCAGCTATCTCCTCACGGACGTCCCTCGTAAGAAGATGGGATTTCTGGGCGTGCTGGTGTCTGACTGACTGGAAGGCGCCTCAAAGCCTCCTTCTGCCACTCCCTTCCCTCCATTCGTGTTCGCCCCCCCATCAGCTATCTCCTCACGGACGTCCTTCGTAAGGAGATGGGCTTTCTGGGCGTGCTCGTTTCTGACTGGGAGGCGCTCAAGGAGCTTCCAGGAAGCTACGAGGACCAGGTTGGTATGGTAGTACTCAGCTGTTGTAAAATTTAGGGTTTAGGGGAGCTGAACTTGAGCGGCTCAAGTTTTCCTTTTCGGTCAAATCTCCTGTCGACTTATAATGCTTGCGTACACTATCCTGTGCTTTCACTGTTTCCGCCTGTTTCATTTCTCCCCCTGATGCCAACATGCTGGGTGACAAAGGTTCCAATCTTGCCAATTTCTTTTCCAAATTTTCGCTTGTTGCTCTCCTCCTCAATACCCCCCCGGCTCTCCCTAGGAGTAAACTCAGGTCTAGAGATGATCATAATCCCCAACTTTTTTCACCAATTTTCACTCTCTCCCTTTCCCTCCCGTTTCAACTGTCACTCTCCTTCCGAATACTCCAGGTTGCCCTTGGGGTGAACGCAGGACTAGACATGATCATGGTTCCCAATGATTTTGCCAACTTCTCCTCCACCCTCACCTCTCTCATCAACTCGGGCCGCGTTCCAATGTCGCGTATCGACGAGGCCGTGTCACGCGTTCTCTCCCTCAAACACTCCCTGGGTCTCTTTGATAAAGACCTAGTCTGCGCCCGCCACTCCTCCTCCTTCTTCTCCTCCTCTTCCTCCTCTCTCTCCTCCCGCTTCCTCCCCTTTTTCGGCTGCCCGGAGCACCGCCAACTTGCCCAGAAAGCTGTAGCAGCGTCGCTGGTGCTTCTGCAGGACTCGTGGAGGAGAGGGGGGAATGGCGGTGGGTACAATGTTGCTGTGTGGGGCCGGGGCAGGAAGAAAATGTTTCCTCTGCCCGTGGATGGGGCAAGAATTGTGGTTGCGGGCAGCCATGCAAACGACATCGGGAGGCAATGTGGGGGTTGGACAATCTCCTGGCAAGGAGAAGCGGGGCCCATAACCAAAGGCACCACCATCTGGCAAGGAATTAAAGAGCTAATTTCTGGCCGGGCGGCTAGTCTCACGTACATTGGATACCCACCTGAAGACGACCGTTACGAAAACGGCACGAGGAAAAGGCCGATCGAAGCCACCCGGGAGGCCGCAGCAGCGTGGGTGAAGCGAGCGAGGAGCGTCGAAGCGGACCTTGGGATTGTTGTTGTAGGGGAGCCTCCTTATGCTGAGTACAAAGGGGATAATCAGCAGCTGGAGCTAAGTGGCCCTGCCCGGTCGACAATTTTTGGGATTTGCAACCAGATTCCTTGTGTCGTGGTGGTGGTTTCTGGGCGGCCACTAAATGTTACCGGGATGTTACCGCATCTCGATGCATTGATAGCTGCCTGGTTACCAGGGTCAGAAGGTAACGGGGTAGCCGACGTGCTATTTGACGAGACGGTGGATTTCAAGGGGAAGTTACCCTTGCCGTGGTTTCGCTCGGTCAGAGACCTGCAGCCGGACCATTCCCCTGGCCCCAACCCCCCACTCTTTCCAATGGGGTTCGGCTTGAATAAGGCTGGTAATCCAATGGGTACAGTGGATGGGGAGGGGGCACCCTAAGATAGCTGTGACCACTGTATAATGTAACCACTGTATGGTAACCATCATCGGATGTATGGACCACTGTAGCATGTGATTATGGTAGGTAGGTATGGTCAGTCAAGGCCACGAGGTGGCTAGTGTATATCTGCCCAAAACAGTTTGTAAGACTGTGTCACTCTTTTAAACCTCCATCCATGTCAAACGCTTTAACAACGTACTGGTAGATTGCGGATTTTGGCACTGGAAGGATAACTTGGTTAGATTAAAACAACTAATCGAGTTAAAAACGAGTCAGCACCATAGAAACATCCTGGACCATGTCATTATATACAGTGGCTCTGGAGATGACGTCACTTGTGTTACACGCAGCATACTGTAGCATGTCATTATGAACCAGCTGTACTCTCATCCTTCTTGCACTCCAACATAGGAGGACGAAGGGGCCGAGGAGGAGCAGTTGAACAAGGGGGGGAGGCGGGGGTGAGGAGGGGGAGGGGGGGGGTACATTCCTTGTTTACGGCACTGCTTTCAGAGGGGGCAGCGGTGTGCCAGGGTGCGTCCTCCTCATGTCCATATGTGCTCTCAGCGAGTCCCTGCTGAGTCCTGCTGCTTTCCGGCACATGGCACACACTTAGCACTACTTCCAAGACAGCTCAGGGTGCTGCTTTCAGAGGGGGCAGCGGGGTACCAGGGTGCATCCTCCTCATATGTGCTCTCAGCGAGTCGCTACTAAGCCCGGCTGCTTTCCCGCACACGGCACACACGCGCACCGTGGGCCGGCTCATTCGGCCCCGAGGGCACCAAGGGAGGGAGAAGGGCGAGGTGGGGGAGGCGGAGTTGGAGGCGGAGTTGGAGGCGGAGGAGGGGGAAGGGGAGGAGATGCGTGGAAGGGCAGAGGATGCAACCACTGCAGGAGCAGAGGCAGGGCCAGAGGTGGGGAGGTGAGGAGATGGCAGAGTGGGAGGAGGAGTGGCAGCAGCAGTAGACAGGAGGGTGGGCGAGGAGTGCGGAAAGGACGTTTCAGCAGCAACACTGTGCGCTGCCGTGTCTGCTGCCCCAGCACCACCACTATTGCCAGGGGAAGCATCAAGGGAAGTGGGCGGAAAGGTGGCAGGAGCAGTACGAGCAGCAGTGGCAGCGGGAGCAGTGGCAGCAGAGGGGTCAGTGGCAGCAGAGGGGTCAGTGGCAGCAGAGGGGTCAGTGGCAGCAGAGGGGTCAGTGGCAGCAGGAGGCGGAGGGCCGTGGGGGTGGAAGAGCCTTCGGTCGAGCGCCACTAGCTGGCGGAGGAAAGAGGTGTTGGGGGCAGCATGGGGGTGGGCGGAGTGCAGCAGCACCCATGCCTCTGCCAGGGGCATCAGCCTGGGGAGAAAGAGGGGGGGGGGGAGTAAGGCGGAGAGGGGATGGCGAAAAGGGGAAAATAGTTCTTAAAAAGGTTTAGGTACGTACAGTACCGCTCAGCCTTAAAAGAAATCAGCAGGGTGGAGTCATTTTTTATCATTCTAACAAAACAAATTCCAGTCTGGCCATAAAGAAAACAGCAGGGTGGAGTGATGGGCGACGGAGCATCATGACGGACAATCCACATCGTCAGACCCTCAACCTCTTGTGAAACCTATTTTCGAGGAACCTCAACCTCAACCTCAACCTCAACCTCAACCTCAACCTCAACCTCAAAAATACAATCCACATCGTCAGACCCTCAACCTCATGCGAAACCTTCCGGGTGACTTTTGGGTCGACTCGAAAGTCACCTCGTTAGAGTGTCACAAGGAGAGCAGCATGAGGGACAGCTCGCATCACTTTTTTTAGAATCCTCAAAAACCGCATCCTCAACTTCATGTGAAACCTACAAAGGGTGGCCATTGATTAGCACTACCTCTTGGTCATGAGGTAGGCCAGCACGATGGACACCGATCGGCTGCGGCCCTCATAGCAGTGCACCAGCACGCCCTCTCCCTTGCTGATGGCAGCTTCCAGGAAGCTGCTGGTCGCTTCCATGTACTTTCCCAGATCCTCCCGGTCTGAGTCGCGCATCTGGCGGCGAAATGGGGGAGAGAGAGGAAGAATGAGAGAGAAAAAGAAGGGGAGAGAGAGGAAAAAGGGGAGAGAGAGGAATAAGGGGAGAGAGAGGAATAAGGGGAGAGAAAGGAAGAAGAAGGGGAGAGAGAGGAAGAAGGGGAGAGAGAGGCGAGTGGGATGTGGGGAGAGAGCGAGAGAGAGGGGTTGGGGATATGCACTTGCTGAGGCCTCCCTGTCTGAGTCGCGCATCTGGTGGAGAAAGGTGGGGAGAGAGAGGCAAGTGGGATACGGGGAGAGAGGGAGAGTGAGGGGTTGGGGATACGCTCTTGCACCAGACGCTGGTCGCTTCCATGTACTTGCGCAGATCCGCTTTTGAGTCGACTCAAAAGCTTCCATGTACTTGCGCAGATCCGCTTTTGAGTCGACTCAAAAGCTTCCATGTACTTGCGCAGATCCGCTTTTGATTCGACTCAAAAGCTTCCATGTACTTGCGCAGATCCGCTTTTGAGTCGACTCAAAAGCTTCCATGTACTTGCGAAAATCCGCTTTTGAGTTGACTCAAAAGCTTCCATGTACTTGCGCAGATCCGCTTTTGAGTCGACTCAAAAGCTTCCATGTACTTGCGCAGATCCGCTTTTGAGTCGACTCAAAAGCTTCCATGTACTTGCGCAGATCCGCTTTTGAGTCGACTCAAAAGCTTCCATGTACTAGTGCAGATCCGCTTTTGAGTCGACTCAAAAGCTTCCATGTACTTGTGCAGATCCGCTTTCGAGTCGACTCAAAAGCTTCCATGTACTTGTGCAGATCCGCTTTTGAGTCGACTCAAAAGCAGCTGCTGGTCGCCTCCATGTACTTGCCCAGATCCTCCCGGTCTGAGTCGCTCATCCGGTGGAGAAAGTCGGGCAAATAGATGCGGGTGGGATATGGGGAGCGGGGGAAAGTGAGGGGTTGGGGACAAGCACATGCTTCACGCCCAAGTGGTGCCAGAGGGCAAAGGAGCCCTCCACCCAGCCCTATCACCCCTCTCCCTGTATTTTCCTCCCACACACTCACCCAACTCACCGGCAGAACGAGGTAGTTGAAAAGAGGTGATTGCTCCGCGTCAGAATCAAGCAGGTCAGTGCGGCACTGCGTCATCACATGGCGAATACCCAAGTGGTGCAGGAGGGCGAAGGAGCGTCAAGACATGTCTACCCGGCCCAAGCTCTTAAACTTACCAGCAGAACGAGGTAGTTGACGAGCAGTGACAGCTCCGCATCAGGATCAAGAAGGTCGGCGGTGGGGCAGAGAATCGCACACTCAGGTAGTGCAGGAGAGCGACCACATGGCGTACAGCCACCACATGGCGTACAGCCACCACATGGCGTACAGCCACCACATGGCGTACAGCCACCACATGGCGTACAGCCACCACATGGCGTACAGCCACCACATGGCGTACAGCCACCACATGGCGTACAGCCACCACATGGCGTACAGCCACCACATGGCGTACAGCCACCACATGGCGTACAGCCACCACATGGCGTACGGACCACATGGCGTACAGCCACCACATGGCGTACAGCCACCACATGGCGTACAGCCACCACATGGCGTACAGCCACCACATGGCGTACGGACCACATGGCGTACAGCCACCACATGGCGTACAGCCACCACATGGCGAACAGCCACCACATGGCGTACAGCCAGGTGGTGCAGGAGAGCGAAAGAACATCAAGGCAGGTCTACCCGCCCTGAGTGCTCTCAACTCCGGCAGAACGAGGTAGTTGAAGAGCGGTGACTGCTCCGCATCAGAATCAAGAAGGTCAGTGGGGCACAGTGTCACCACGTGCTTCACGCCCAGGTGGTGCACGAAGGCGAAAGAGCATCAAGGAGTGACTGCCCCCCCCAAGCGCTCTCAACTCACCGGCAGAACGAGGTAGGTGAAGAGGGGGGATTGCTCCGCATCAGGGTCCAGCAGGTCAGTGGGGCAGAGCGTCACCACGTGCTTCACACCCAGATGGTGCAGGAGGGCGAAGGAGCGGGCGGCGATGGCGGACCCCAGGTACAGGTGCGGGAGGATCAACGAGGGGCGCTCAGACGCCATGGAGTCTTGCACCAGCGCCCAGCGCTCCAAGAGATGGTGCAGGCGAACCTGGGGTCCACGCGAGTAGTGTGGGGGGGGGGGGGATGAGGGAGAGGCGCTCAGACGCAATGGAGTTTTTGCACCAGCGCCCAGCGCCCCAAGAGATGGTGCAGACGAGCCTCCTGGGGGCAGGGAAGTAGAGAGGGCGCGGGGGGGAAGGATGGGCGCACTGATGGTAGAGGCGTGGGAGGATGAGGGAGGGGCGCTCCGACGCCATGGAGTCTTGCACCAGCGCCCAGCAATCCAAGAGATGGTGCAGGCGATTTTGGGGGCCGGCAATGGGGAGAAGAGAGGAGGGTAAAAGAAGGACGGATGAGCCCAGGTGGTGCAGGAGGGCCAAGGAGTGGGCAGCGATGGCACAGCTCCGGTGGAAATGGGGGAGGTTGAGGGAGGGGCGCTCCGACGCCATGGAGTCTTGCACCAGCGCCCAGCAATCCAAGAGATGGTGCAGGCGATTTTGGGGGCCGGCAATGGGGAGAAGAGAGGAGGGTAAAAGAAGGACGGATGAGCCCAGGTGGTGCAGGAGGGCCAAGGAGTGGGCAGCGATGGCACAGCTCCGGTGGAAATGGGGGAGGTTGAGGGAGGGGCGCTCCGACGCCATGGAGTCTTGCACCAGCGCCCAGCAATCCAAGGGATGGTGCAGGCGATTTTGGGGGCCGGCAATGGGGAGAAGAGAGGAGGGTAAAAGAAGGACGGATGAGCCCAGGTGGTGCAGGCGGGCCAAGGAGCGGGCAGCGATGGCACAGCTCCGGTGGAAATGGGGGAGGTTGAGGGAGGGGCGCTCGGACGCCATGGAGTCTTGCACCAGCACCAGCGCTCCAAGAGACAGCAGGTCACAAGCCGCAGCATCTTGCTCTGCCCTTACCCTCTATAGAGAACCACTCTCACCTTTGAGTTGACTCAAAATGACTTTTTAGTTTTGAGTCGACTCAAAAAGCATCTTGCTCTGCCCTTACCCTCTATAAAGAACCACTCTCACCTTCAACTCATACTCGTCCACCAGGCTGTGCGCCCCTCCCCCGACACTCGCCCCCATGAACCCATCACCAACGCAGTGCAACAGGCGACCTGGTATTGTACGGGCTTGCATTCTGGCTCCCCGTTACGAAATCGATCTCACCTTGAGTTCGTAGGCGTCCACCAGGCTGTGCGCCCCTCCCCCGCCACTCGCCTCCATAAACCCTGTCAAAAACGGCAGCGCAGCCGCCCCGCAGATCCTCCCAGCCTCCTCCCTCATGCGCCCGTCCCACCGCTGCACCTGCTCCCTCAACTCCTCGTCCCCCTGAGCGGATTTCCTCACTCCGCGTATCTTCATGCTTAATCGCGAGGGTAAACCACCCAGAGACGCCCTCCAGGCAGCTGCTTTTGCTGCTGATTTGCTAATAGAGGCGGGCGCGTGGCGGGGGTTGGCGGGGGTTTTGTGAGACGAGGGGGTTTTGTGGGAGGAGCGAGGGGTGGGGCTACGGTAGGGGAGACGGGAGTGGGCCGCAGTGGGAGTGCTTATGCTGCTGGTGCTGGTATGAGCAGTATCAGTGGCAGCATTAGAAAAAGCGGCAGCATCGAGCGACGGGGCAGTATGAGCGGCAGAGGGGGCAGTGTCAGTGGCAGGGGTGGTGGGAAGAGATGGGTGGGTGTGCTTCTGCCGGTGGTTGGCAGGGCGGATTATGGGTGAAGGGCGGGTGGAGGGAGGGGAGGAGAAGGCGGAGGAGAGAGACATAGGGGAGGTTGCACGGGTGGGAGGCGAGCTGGCAGTGCTAGCAGCGGCGCTAACAGCACCAGTACCGCCAGTACCGGCGGCAGCAGCAGCAGCAGCGGTAGCAGAATCTGCTTCTGGGGAATCACTCCCTCTGCTACCTCTGCTCCCTCTGTTCCCTCTGCTCGTTCTACGCGCCGCTGACACTTCCCCTTCTACTTCTTCCTCCCCTGCCGCTGTGGCTTCTCCTTCTCCTTCTCCTTCTCCTGCTCCTGCTGCGGCTGCTGATGCTCTCCTCGCCACCTCTTCCGTTGCTGCTGTCTTCTCACAGATGCTTCCTAGGAAGGGGGAGCGGGCACTAGTGAGAGAAGGAGAGCGCGGATTGAAGCGAGCAGGGGAGCGCAGGAGGCGGGGCGAGTGGGCGGCACCAGCAGTGGCACGACGGTAAGGCACAGGGGAGCGCGGGGGGCCAGGGGAGCGGGGAGGGATTGGGGAGCGAGGGGGTGCAGGGGAACGAGGGGGAGCAGGGGAGCGAGGGGGAATGGGGGAACGAGGCCAGTCGGAGGAAAGAGGGGGTGCGGGGGAGCGGGGGGGAGCGGGAGAGCAGGGAGGGGCGGGAGAGGCGGGAGCAGAGAGAGCAGGGGAGGGAGGGGGGGCACGGGGCCGCTGGGAGAGAGCAGTACGGGACACGGGGTCTGCTGAAGCAGAATCAGCACGGGAATCCGAGCGTGAGTAGCCGTAAGCAGGCCCAGCAGCAGAGGGAGGCATGATTGGGGGAGGTGATATCCGCCTCATAACGTGCTGAGAGTAGGAGTCTTCACTAGGAGACGGGGGAATGGAGGAAGGGGGGGATTTGTTAGAGGGAGAAGCTTCGGGGGAGAGAGGTGCGTGAGGGGAGAGGGGAGCGCGGGGCGAGAGGGGGACCTGAGGGGAGGAGTTTAGAGAGGATTCGAACTCCCTGGGAGTGTGAGGGGACCACAGATCGTTACTGTGATTGTTGGCAGTGCGAGGGGAAGGTGTTACTGGGGAGGGTAGATCATGGGGCGGTTCTTTGGAAGAACTTTCTAGTGGTTCCTCTGCCGACGTGGAAGAAGGGTGGGTAAAGGACAGCCGTAGGGACCTGCTGGCCTTGGCAGATGCAACGGACGAGTCGCGAGACAATGATGACGTGGTATGGGCTGCTGATGACGTGGAAGGAGATGCTGTTGCTGTGGTTCTGGCTACTGCAGCAGTGGCTGAGGGAGGCGCGGAATCAGGGGAGACCGGGTCGGCCTCAGGAACAGGTGAAAGGGAGGGAGGAGGTGGAGGAGACGACTTTTGAGTCGACTCAAAAGGAGGGGCGGAGTCTGGGGAGATCGGGTCGGCTTCGGGAACAGGTGAGAGAAAGGGAGGAGGTGGAGGGAGAAGTTCGGAGCAGCGGACACCTCCATCCATGACAGGTGTCTTCTCAGCATTGTCGGTAGCCCTCTGTGCTGCAGTTGGGGCATTTAGCTCTCTAGCAGTAGCACCCTCCATGCTGTCCTTAGGGTCGCCATTACAATTCCCGCTGCTGCCAAAATCGACTCGACTACCACCACCACCACAATCGCCATTGCTACTACTACCACCACCACCGTTTTCTCGGCTGTCGCGCGTCCCCCCCACACCGGCATTCCCAAAGTCCAGTCTACTCGCAGAGATGTGCGCAGTGCGGCATGAGATGGACGGCGAGGATCGTCTTGCAGCGGGTCCTACCCACCCGGCACAGCCAGCGCCACTGTTATGGCCAAAGCCACCACCGTTACCACTGCTGCTGGCATCATTGCCCTCACATCCGCTGCTGCTGCTGCAGGCTCTACTGCTGCCATCACAGCCTCTGCTGCTGCTGCTGTCGAGCCGTGGCCTGTGGACGGAGGATGGGGAGAGAATGCGAGACCCCTTGCGGAAAGGAAACGGGGTTGTTGTGTTTATATCTACCAGCTCCCCCCTTCCGCCTACGCCCTCTCCTTCTCTCCTGCTGCCTCCTCCTCCTCCTGCCTTCTCCCCATCTCCTCCCTCGCCTCCAGCCCTCTCCTCCTTGGCGGCACTGCCCCTTCTACCACCATACCCAATTCTACCCCCACTGCTCCCATTCTCCCCTCCGCTCCCATTCTCCCCTCCGCTCCCATTCTCCCCTCCGCTCCCATTCTCCCCTCCGCTCCCATTCTCCCCTCCGCTCCCATTCTCCCCTCCTCTCCCGCACTCCCCGCCTCGCCCACCCTCCCCTCCCCCGTCCAGCTCAGGCACCGAAGTCACAAACGCCAGGAACGCTCTCAGCATGTCGTCCAGCCGCGAGTGCAGGGCAGATAGCGTGCGCTGCACGCGGCGCATCTCCTCCACTGCTTCCCTAAACCCCTGCTGGAACGCACGGGTTTCTGGGGACACAGGGGGGTGCGCAGCTGCTGCTAACTGAGCAATGGTAGACCTTTGACTGGATAAGCTGCTGCTGGTGCTGCTGCTGGTACTGCTGGTGGTGCTGCTGGTGGTACTGCTGGTGGTGGTGCTGCTGGTACTGCTGGTGGTGGTGCTGCTGGTGGTGGTGGTGCCGCTGGTACTGCTGATTGTGGCGATACTTGTGGCGCCGGACTCAGTGGTTGTGATAGTGGTGGTGGTGATGCTGGTGGTGGTGGTAGTTACGGCGATGGTTGCGGGAATGGTGCTGGTCGGAGCGGAGGGGGCGGTTACACATTCTGTAGCATAAGCAGACCTCTCTAGAGCCATTCCAGCTTCAATAACAGCTGGGAAGGATCCTGTAGCACCAGCAGCAGCAGCAGCAGCAGCACCACCACCTGTAGAAGCTGCTGTAGCAGCAGCAGCCAGACCTGTCCCAGAAGCACTGGGAGGCAATGAGTCAGACGAGCCAAACGAGGATGATTCTAGCGAGGATGAAAACGACAACGACGATGAGAAAGAGGCGGAAGGAAAACCATCCTCGGCAGCACACATCGGGCCGGGAGCCACGACCCCATGGGTGGGAGTTGATTGCACATGGCCTGGAGTGGGCTCGCCCAACTGGCCCAGTGCCCCGAAGGAGGCGTGGAAGAGCGTGTGGGCGGCGAAGCAGGGGTCATGCAGCAGCAGCTGCACGAGGCGGGGGATGGCGTCCCGGTCGTGCTCCGCCAGGCTGGGTGGCACGCGGCGGCAGATGGACGAATCTATCACCACCACCTCCTGCCCCACCAGAAGCTGATGTGCCTCCTGACCCACTACCTGCTGCGGCGTCTGTGGTGCCTCTTGCCCCACTGGCTGCTGCTTTAACCCCTGACTTGCAGGCTGCTTCAGCTGCTGCTGCTGCTGCTGCTGCGGCTGCTGCTGCTGTGAAAGTGGTAGGATATTCCCCACAATGGAGTGCTTTGATATGGCACTTGGAAAGCCGGAAGCCTCTTTCGTTTCACTATGAGATCGACCTCTACCTCTGCCTCGCCCCCTTCCCCTTCCCCTCCCCCTCCCCCTCTCTCCGCTTCCTCGTCCTCGACCCTCCCTCCTTAATTCCCCTTGCCTCCTAGATTCTAATTCAGCACCCATTCCCTTTCCCCCCTCCCCCTCCTTCAACTTCTCTTCTCTCTCCCACGCCTTCAGTAACGGCCGGTCGGAGCATAGAATGTTGCCGCGGTTACCCCTCCAGCCCAGTTCCGGGCAGGGTAACCGGTCATCGTTCCTCAACATAATATCTAGCAGAAGCACGCGGCCCAATGAGTGCGCTGTTTTTTCCCGGGCAGATTGATCAGGGAAAAGCTCGTCTCGTGGGCAGGAGACAAAAGATTGCCCCTTCACATGCCTGCATGCCAGGGGCACAGGATAGGGGCATGAGCAGAGGGTTGAAAAGATGGGAGGATATAGGGGAGGGGGGGAGGATTTGGAGGGAAAGCGGGAAGCAGGAAAGAGTGGAACAGGATAGATGGAAAGGAAGAGAGAGAAAGAAAACACTCCTGTTGGTAGAAATGATTTGCCTGTCAGGACTTACTCACCCCATGAGCAGGAAGCATCGGCTCAGCTGCAGGGCCTCTAGAAATTCCTCCACCACACTCCCCTCCTCCTTCCCTCCACTCTCCCTCCTCTCCACCACATTCCCCTCCTCCTTGCACCCACTCTCCCTCCGCTCAACCTCCTGCCCTCTCGCCCCCATCTCTCTCCCCCTCAGCCTCTCTGCTGCTCTCACCACCTCCTCCCACTCCCTGGTCTGCTGCACTGCAAGCTCATGGGCAGACCAGGATGGGTCATTGGCCAAAACGGACCGCTCCATTCGGCCTGAAAAGCCCTGCTGCAGATTTTCCTTATCCAGCGTGAAAGGGTCGGCGCTGCGGTCAGCACTACAGGTGGGGAGAGGCGAATTCCACGCAGCAGAAGCAGCCAGAGAAGCTGGGCTGCCGGTCGCTACTGTCGCCCTCCTTCTTCCAGTGATGGTGGTGCTACTGCTGTCGGTGTTGGTGTTGGTGTTGCTGTTGCTACAGAGGATTGGGCTGCTGTGCGTGCTGCTCCTGCCGTGATTTCCTCTGTGCACCACTCGCACCTGAGGGAAAGGGCGAGCAGGGAGGGGGAAGCGACAAGGGCAGGTGCTAACATCAGAAGCGTTCCAAAAGAACTGGAAGGAATTACAGGACGATGGCGCAAGTCGTTCTATTCTTTGCAAGACATAAAGGACCGCTCCCTCTATCCTTATGAGGGTAACGGCCTTGTACCTGGGGCGTGGCGATCCCAAGGTGCATGGCCAGCTCAGCTCCAAATCGCTCCGACTGCGTGACGATGCGCGATCCAGCAAACTTGATGCACGCTGCGGCTAGTTGAGGTTGGGGGTCCATCCACTCTCGTCTAGCTCCTACCCCTCTGTTGTCTCGGATCTGAGACGCATTTTGGGGTGCCCCAATGGCCCTTGTCTCAGCTTCAGCTGCTTCGCCGTCCGCTCTTCTGTGGCCGGATTCGTCCCCTTTTGGGCCTGGCTCGGGCCGCTGGCGGAACAGTGCGAAATACACGATTCCACCAGAGTTGACGGTCACCTGAGGCAAAAGATGGAGAAATCGAACGGAAGGAAAGAGAGTCCATGTCGTTCGAAGGAAGGAAAGGCAATGCGCGTCCACACACCACCACAGGCGCGTTCAGATGGCTTACCTCCACACTACCGCTCTTCTCAATCACAGGTGCGTCAGGCAATCCCTCTCCCCCTCCTCCCCCACCTCCTCCTCCTCCTACTCCTCCTGCTACAGCCGAGCTACCCTCTCCTCCCACCTCAGTGCGGTACAGTGCTACGAGGTCCGACCAATCAAATCCGCCCACGCGGACGTCCAGCTCAGCAGCCCTCCCCAGCTGCTGCTTCCAATCCAAGCATCTGTACTCGTGCATCCGAGCCTCCATCTTGCCAGCCTCGGCGAGCCGAGCCTCGTCGAGCCCCTTACAGACGTCATCAACACCATCACCACCAACGGCAGCCATAGCTGTGGCGGCAGCACCAACGCTATGACCAAGATCAAGGCCAACACCAGCACTGGCACCAGCACCAGCACCGGCACGAACACCAGCACCGGCACGAACACCAGCAGCAGCAGCAGCAGCAGCAGCAGCTCCAGTCCCAACACCAGCAGCAGCAGCACCATCAAAAGCACCATCAAACTGCCGTTCGCGTGACTCAAGGTTTTCGTCTGCCGTTCCTACTGGGGGCTCGGACAGCGTCTCACCCTGTTTCACCTCCCCATTCCCTCTGCAGGTTTCCCCTTTCGCCTCCGCTTCTTCACCCTGCCCCTCAACTCTCCCTGGCCCCACTACAACAGCAGCTACAGGCGGCGAAACAGCGACGCTGGATGAATCAGGAGCAGGAACAGGAGGAAGGGGAGTAGGATCAGCAGCATCAGCAGCAGCAGCGGCGGCGGCGGCGGCGGCGGCGGGCACGTTAGCAGCAGCCGCACGCATGGGAGCACTATCTACCTCCACTCCCTTCCCACATGGTGGACGCACGAGCACCCCCTCATGGTTATTGGGCTGCTCCTCTAAACTGCTACTGCCATCTGCGCCTAACTTGGAAGGATCATGCCTTACGTCTTGCACCTGATCCTCTCCAATCACACATGCTCTCGCATCCCCTCTCTCCGTCACTCCACTCCCTCCGCCCGTTCCACCTGGGCCACCTGGCACGACCCTACTGGCTAGCCCTGGCTCCTTACTCCATCCTCCAGCAGTCCCCTGACTGTAACAATCCCACATAGTCACACCATCAGCCATAGGCCAGGAGGCCCTCATTAGAACGTCATCCTCTGCTACCATTCCCCCCATAGACGGTCTGGAGATAGAGCTGATGCCAATGGGGGAGGCTCCACCTGGGGGCGGTAGCATCTCACCACCACTCGTCTCGTCACCAGCATTCTCATTACCACCCGTTTCACTTCCTCCAATCTCGTCCCTGCTGCTGCCCATTTTGTCGCCTTCCTCACTCCGCCCAACACATGCACTTCCCTCCTCTCTCTCACACACACTCTCCCCCTCCTCTCCTTCCTCCTTCAAGACGCCCTCCAGCCTCCCCGGACGCTGGAATTCCGGGAGCCTGATTGCCAAGGCACCGTTACAAGAACAACCGGAACCAGAGCCATGAGACTGTGGGCAGGGGAAGGGATGCAGTCCCGGCTTGCTCGTCTCACTGATGCTGTGACTTCGGCGAATGCCAGGAGGCGGAGGAGAGAGCGAGTCGCTCTCAGCGCCCTTCGTTATAAGGTCGAGTTGAGAGGCAGAGGAGGTCGTTGGGGAGAGAGATGACACCACGTAGCCGAGGCGATAGGCTGAATGGGACGCAGTAAGAAAGGCGCCAATAACGCATGGGATAGGTATCGTAAGTTATGAAATGACATATGGTCTAGACATGGCGAATTATGGGAGACATGGGGAACGTGCTTCGATAACAGACCATTGCGAACAACGTCAACCTTGGGTTAAAACTAGCTATCTTTAGTAAAATCCGAGAGTTTTTCTTATAAAGAGTGATAGGACGTTGTGGAAAATATCAAATCTCACCTCGTTGCCTCGCACGCCAAGCGGCTCGCTTGCTCAGAAGCCACGGCTGAATGTCCTCCACCAGTGGCCGCCTGCCACGTGTCCGCGACAAAAACGCGAATGACTGCAAGACAAGGGCATGATCCATGCAACACAACCACAGCAGATTTGGAAATCGCTGAGCTGGGCTGGCGTAACCGAGTTTAAGACCCCTAGAAATGGCAAGGACTCAGCAATTTGGACATGGATGCTGAGGGATTCGGCCTGATGAGAATAAAGCGGGACATGTGAGTTTCAGCCGTCTCAAATCTCGCTTGGATTCAAGAGCCTGATGAGATGGAGCTGGTGCGGCTTACGGACCCTGTGCGAAAGAAGCATGGTCGATGACACGTCCTCATGCTGGAGCGCGTCTTCTAACGCGGACGAAAACTCGGGATCTGTCTCGTTGCCTTGCTCTGGATCTTGCTCTAGATCTTGATCAGTATCGGTTTCCGGCTCGTGACCCTCGTCCGGCTCTTGATCATCCTGGTTCGCTTCTGGTTCATTATCACCATTCACGTCCTCATTTTCTTCGTCTCTCTGCTCGGGATGATTGTTGTTTTTCCCGTGCTTCTCAGCTGATGGAGATCGATTGACAGAAGAACTATTGCTTGGAAACAGGCCGTCTTCACCTGTCATACCCTGGCTCGGACCGACGATGTTATGACAGAAGGCTAAGCGTCTTTCCACATGATCGGTCTCATCGAAATCGATCCCTTTGTTTTTATCCATTCTATGACAACCTCAAGGGACTCCGTTTCCCGTTCGGGACTGTACGACGATAGCGCTAGCGGAACCTAACAAAGAAATGCGAGTTGCAACCTACTCAGAAATTCGTCAGGGAGGTTCGGAGGCGAAGAAAATGCTTGCTAGGTTCTTGCAACCTCGTCAGCACGAGCTCATAATCTTGCAACGGGCACTACGTCGACTTGATCGGCAGTAATTTCGAAGGGACACTATACTACTACGTGTGGTAACGTAAACACGTGAACTGTTTATGGTACGAGACTTCTGTGACGTGTGCTTATGTCCGGCACCCCTAAGATCTGTGAATAAACTGTCACAGGACAAGGGCAGCAGGTCGGGGAGAAGTGGGAGAAGCGGGAGAAGCGGGAGAAGCGGGAGAAGGTGGGGTGGCGGGGGAATGGGAGGTGGGAAAACAGCGAGCGCAGGGTGGGTGGGATGGCAGGATCCATCCACATGCAGCAGCCTCTGGGGGAAGGTGAAGAGGGGGATGGGAGAGAACCACCACCCTGCTTTGCGGGGCAGACAGAAATCACGCCAGCTTGTGCGGAGTTCCCAAGGCGATATTTGTCAGCAAACTTTTTTCGGACGTGGTTGGATGGGATAAAATGTTTTTGAATGGGATGGAAAGGGTTTTAGAAGTTTACATGTGCCGTTTCGAAAACATCATGGCTCGCACCGCCACTCCCAATCCACCCAGTCAGTGAACTGGCGGGAAAAAGAGCCGTGAGATGACGCGCCTCAATTCTGTCAGAAGTTCAACACAGATTCTTGTCTACACTGAACTTCGTTCAGAGTGTTATTAAAACACGCAAATGTGAAAATGCGGACTAGCAGTACACCGGGCTGCTCCATGATGAGTTTCCCATGCCGCTAAACTGACCTGCTCCTGGAACAGGACCAACTTGGGTAGTTTCTCCAAAGTTAGTGCTCTTTCGCGTTTCGTCATGGCTAGCAGTTGCGCGACATCGTTATTCAGCCAGCTCAAACTGCGCGGGTCTGTAGCTCTCCCAATTTCGATAAATCGTGCCAAGTCTGTATACTGTCCTACCTCCACCAGAACGTTCAAGCACATTTCCACTACCAGACGTTCCCCGTGTCCGTCCAATTTCCGCACTAGAGCGAGTACCAGGGATGGCCAACCGGACAGCCTTAGTAACTCCGACTTGGCGTTTCGCGCGATCGAGGAGATTCGCGCCGTGTTTGACAAAGTTGCTGCCGCAGCAACGCCTCCCGTGGGTGAAGCTGCCAGCGTGACACCTGACGATACCGGACTAAGAAGTGACCCGTTTCAGACACTAGTGGAGGAAATATGTTCCGCCAGAGATGGAAGGATTGTTCTTTATGGAGTTGGACGGTAAGCCATCTCCCTTCTCCTGCGAAATCTGCCCAAATCCGTGAAGCTCAGTCATAATTTCGACCAGAGATTATCTCAACTCTACACTCGTTCAACCCCTGTATCAAGGCCCCTGAATCTCCGCGCAATTGTCCCTTCTACAACTCCTCCTCGTTTCATTCTCTCTACTTTTCTCCTGCTGCTTTTGCCTCCATGCAGAGAGAGTCTCATGATGCGAGCCCTGGCCATGCACCAGTATCACCTAGGCTTGCACGCATCGTTGTGGGTGACATGACATGTCCTGCCCTCCCATACCTTCCTGCTGTTATTTCCCCCTCCCCCCCGCCCCCCTCCCCCCGAGCAGGGAGGGTCTCATGATGCGAGCCCTAGCCATGCGCCTGTATCACCTAGGCTTACACGCCTCGGTCGTAGGTGACATGTCCTGCCCTCCCATTGGACGAGGCGACCTCCTTATTGTCAGTGCAGGCCCTGGCCGCTTTTCCACAGTGGATGCTCTTATGGGGGAGGCCAGATCTGCAGGGGCCAGGACTGCCGTCATCACAGCACAGCCGTCAGGGGATTGTGCCAGGCTGGCAGATCGTGTGGTGTACATTCCTGCACAGACAATGGCAGATGATACTGAATCTGGTGTAGGGGGGGCGAGGGATGAGCAAGGGAATGTGCTTCCTATGGGGAGTATTTATGAGGGAGCACTGTTTTTTCTAGGAGAAGTGGTGGTGCGTTTGTTGCGGGAGGAATTGGGCGAAACCAGAGATACCATGCGCGCTCGGCACACCAATTTGGAATGAGGCATTTCTTCGTGTATCATCTGTTCATGTAATTTTTCATCACGTACGCCTTCCAGCTCTACAGTCGAGAAGTCCAATAACGCGGTATTTTACATTGGCAGGTTGTGGGGCCATATGTTCGCTTGATCACAGATTCCCAAGGCTGGTGCGTCTTGCATGGGAGGCATTTCTCCCTCACACAATCAGGATTCTAGTCTGCACCTCCTCCGATCCCTCCGCGCTTAGCTCCCTCGCTCCTTGCTGTAACCCGGCCTACTTCCTCGCCGTTCTTTCGCGCCCTTGCGCCTTCCCCCCCTTCTCCCAGTTCCCCCATGCCACTACTAAAAGTGCTACTAGGGGCTACTGGCCCTTCGGCCTGCGTGTTTCATGAAGCCAACTTGTAGCGTTATCTGGTGCTGTCGCAGGGAGTCTATCTTTGAGGCGCCTAAAAAATGAGGTCCTGCGTGTTTCGTCAAGCTAACTTCAACCGTTATCTAGTGCTGTCGCAAACCAAGCGACATCTTCTAGTAGCGAATGGTTCAGCGGCTGTTTCACCCGCGACCCAGTCAGCCTCGCTTTCGGCCATCCGTTCGCTTCTCGCCCTTATCTCACTTTTACGCATTACGTCGCTTTTAGTTAGTCATACCTTATATTCCACGTAATGATGTAGGGAAGGCTGATGGGCACAGCAGCAGCCAGATCGCGATCCGGTGATGATCTGACTCCTCGTTGAGTATCTTTTATTGCTGAACCGCCTTATTGCGCGAAACCAATCCTGCCATTTTCGAAACAATTGCTCTCGATATGGCGGACCTTGCAACACCGCCTCTGGTGTCAACGCCAGTACTACCCATTCCACCACCACCACCACCTTCAGCAGAACCTCCAACGGCAGCAATTTCATCAGAAGCAGCAACACCACCAGCAGCACCAGCAGCAGATGCGTCAGCAGCAGCAGCACCATCAGCAGCAGCTGAACCTAGCACCCCAGTCTGTCCCCATATAGGTCCCTTCCATGCCTACTCTCTCCGTTTCTTCTCCTCCACCTCAAGCTCCAGTACCAGGGATGCTAATAACGGGGCAGACAGCACTGAGTGCTTCTCCGGGTTCATGCTGCTGACCTCGCCCGCCATTGGCCCGCTGGATGCTGACGTGGCACGCATGGAGGTCCCGCTTTGCTCCAAGTATTTCGGAGCTCCTGCTGCTACAGATGTGGATTCTGCCGCTAAAGGTGTGGGATGGGCTCAGCTGCTACAGATGTAAATTCCACTGCTAGGGAACTGGAGCATGCTGCTTCTACCGTCTACCTTTGCTGCCTGCTGCGTGCACATCTGCTACTGCTGTTCCTGTTGCTTATGCTGGTGCTGTTGCCGCTTCACCTGGTTCCCCCCATTCTCCCACGCCAGGCCCGTCTGTTGCTTCTGGGTCGGTCCGTCTCGCCCCTCTCGGCGCCTTCAGCCTCTCGCCTCAGCAGGTCAGTCGCGTTCATGCCATAATGGTGCTGGAGGTGCCTCGGATGGGTCAGCTGGTTCCAGGTAATCTGGTGGTTTGGCGATCAGCTGGGTTTAGATGGTTTAGTTTCGACTGTTGATCTGTGTCAGTTATTGGGTTGTTCATGTGGCTCTGCTGGTTCTGGTACCAATTCTAGAGCTGGCTTTTTAGAATTCTTCCCCCCATTCCCTCCCCCTCTCTCTCCTCCAACCCCCCTCCTCTCAGCTTGCCAGTGCCATGTGCTACCACATGCGTCTGTTTGGCATGGTACTCAATAGATGGGATCTCATGCACCATGCACCCATCCTCGCTAAAGGCGCCGCCGTTGCTGCTGCTGCCGAATCTGCTGCTGCTGAATCTGTTGCTGCTGCTGCTGCTGCTGCTGCCGAGGCTGAATGTGCTGACGTTGATTCTTCTGTGGGTGCAAGACGTGTTGCTATGGCTGGTGCTGCTGATGCTGATGCTGCAGCCTCCGCCACTGTGGATCCCCCTGACCCTGTGCGCCATGCGCCCATCACTGAGGCCGTGCGCCCCTTTGGTGCGTTTTGGACCACTTCCCACTACTGCTTCGTGCTGCCCAGCTTGGAGGGGGGAGGAGGAGAATCAGGTGTGCTTCCCATTTTGGAGGGGGGAGGAGGAGAAAGAGGGGCCAAAGGGACTGGGGCGTGCAGGAGAGAAACAGATGGGGGAGGTAAAGGCGAGAGAGGGGCAGAAGGAAGGGGGGGAGATGTAGCAAGGGAAGGGGAGGCGAGGGATGGAGAGGAGCAAGGGGGAGGGGGCGACGACATGAGCATGGGTGAACCAGCTGGTGATGCGTCCGCACATGTGAATCATAACGTCAGCATGCGAGGCCACGGTAACGTCAGCACGGGAGGCCATGGTGACGTCAGCATGGGAGGCCATGGTGGCATGAGCATGTTGATGCGGGGGATTGACTGGGAGACGGTGGAGAGGGTGGCGTCCCTTGGAGACGGTAGAGTGGCTTCCGCTGGTCGTGACGTTGCAGCCGCGG